TATTCCCTTATGTTCACAGAGGTTTAGACAATTCAGTGAGCTCTGTCTTTAACTCCACTTTTTATTTCATTTGGAGCTGTTTGTGACAGACAATACATGACAGGGGATTCAGCTATGATAAAAATTTGATAGAGGGAAAACCAGCATCAACCCATCAGTTGCCAAAAGACTGCAAAAGCTGCTTAAGTCCAAAAGAAAAGAGGAGCTTTTCTGTGTCAGAAATTGTGCCTGAAATACATGATACTCCATTTGTCAAATAGTCCTTTCACAAAATTAAATCAGAACAAAACGAAATTGAAATCCAGTAAAACTGACTCAAGACTAAAAAGAAGGTATTAGCCAAAGCAGCAAACAAATACCAACCAAGGAATAAAAATACCCTAAGACATTTTATTTTTTACCTGGGGGAGAACAGAGAAGAATGGCTATTACTACTGGCTGTTTGTGGAAGGTGCTCATCTGGTACATGATCAGTGTAAAACCCTAAATTCAGACAGACTCTATGTTGCTCCCACCTGAAAGCTATTATCTGAAATTTGCTTACCCCTGGAGCAAAACCAACAACACTGTTGATCCTGCCATGGTTTTTATGGCTGAAAAACAAAAATCCTCTTTCTTAACAACAACCATGCCAGCATTTCTTTCCTATTTCCAGCAACCTTGAAAGCAAACAGCTTCACACAGCATTTAACCAATGTGGTATTCACTACAAGCATATAGGACGTGCAGAACACAGGACATGGCCTAAATGCAATTTTGTGAGTGTGCCACTCGTAGGTCAGTACTGGATTTCAGTTCTTCCTCTAAAATCACTTTACACAAATTGTCCTGCTCTGTATTGACAAAACATAGCTGGGCAGGACCTCCAAGAGCTGAATGGGTCAATGAACATTGTGATGTCAAAGTTCAGATTTGTATGCCTGTGTTAGCTGCTAGTCACCTCATCTTCCTGTGTCCTTTTTTTGGCCCTGACTGACTTGGCCTATTTAGCGAATGCTGCTTATCCAGTTTTTGTATAATGTTCACCAACCTTGTTCTTTGAATGATACTCTTGGGATCTGTATGGATATTTACATGCCCTGTCTCCACTTTTGTAGCATCTGAACACTTCATATTTGAACATGTTTAACTCCAGCATCCCCCCATCCCCCCATTTTTAACAAGGACAATGTGTGAGTGCAGGAGTACAATGCAGCAAGGTTAAAGCTTCCAGAAGAAATGTGGCAGAGTCAGAAACTAAGTTTGGGTCACCCAAAGCATTGAATTTCTCTTTCACTATTAAAACAAACTTTCAGTTAATCAACTGACAGTAAAAAGGGCAGTGCTGAGCATGCCAAAACAGTGAGCCTGTAACAATTTCCATTACACATTTTTAAGGAAATATTTCTATCCTTTAAAAATTGAACCAATGCTAAAGCCATTGTAACAAATAAATTAATGAGGCCTTTTAAAAGGCATTCAAAAGCATCCATGACTCTATCTCTGCTGTTTTACAGATATCATATATGGCCTAATTATTTTTTTAATAAAGCAAAGGAAATGTTATGAAGTAAGTCCTGCATTGCAGAGTAAAGATGTTAATCCAGCAAAGCTTTCATCAGAGCAAGGACCACATTTCCCCTGCCTTCGTGCATGGTTACAAGCTTTGATCTTTGTCTGGGAGCCTTGCATCTCTGCAATTGTCTCCAGTTAATAATGACTCCAGCCAAATATTGCAACAAATGTTTAGATTAAAAGCAAAAATCCCTACATCTGCAAATTTGCTCTCAACCTCCTGCTTTCTTTGAAGAAAATTTCAATCCTGTTTCTCGCTGGGCTCTGATGGGTGGCTCCTGGTTAATCTCTGTCTGTCTCCCTGGTAACAGTCAAAGGAGAGGACACAGAGGTGGGCAGGGAGCGAGCCTCCAGCCACTGCTCCTCTTATCACGGTCCATCAGCAGGTGTCCTTTGCTCATATCCAGCAACAATAAATACAGCCTGTGGCTAAGGGAACCACCACACAGCTTTTTTCAGAAGTCTCAAAGAGCAGTAGCTGGACTCCAGATTTTGAGATCTCTTACTGTATGCAGGCACTGCAATTGCCACGATAGTTTGTTAAACTAATCTTTTTTTTTTCACTTTAGTCAGTCTTTGTTGAAGTACCCTCTAAAGACATATATCACTACAAACAGAAATACTGAGCCACCAGTTTTTGTACAACCTGAATGTTTAGCTAGTGTGGCAACAATAAAACAGTTTACTGTGTTCACAAAATCAATCTGTGTGTATATTTGCTTGATATTTTTTCCCCACCATGAAACTGAGTGTTTGCAAAAAAAAGGAGAATCTACGATCTGCAACACAGGTGCTGCAGGTTGTGCTCCTGCCAACATCAGCTGACATTTTTCTCTTGAAACTGGTGACAATTCTTCAGCCCTTGAGTCTACCAAAAGTTAGCTCTCCAAAAGCAAATCATCAAATGATAGTTGGATGCCTCTAAGAGGCTAAAAGAAACTTTAAAGCATGGCTCCACAGTGGCACATAAATGACCGACTCCCTGGGAAGCCTGACTCAGAGATACACAATTATTTATTTCTAAGACAGTTCCTTATGGAGACTAAGTTTGCCAGGATAGGTGTTAGCTCTTATTAGATGATCTTTGTGTCACACACTCTTGTTATGCTTGCTTCTGTTCTGTCCATCAGTCGTGATTCAGGGGACCTCTCAAAGCAGCCCCACTGGCTCACAGGCCAGCACACAAGGTTTTGGGTACAGCCAGAACTCAGCCCAGCACAGACCTGGCAGAGGCTGCTTTAAGGCACTGGGAAAGGGCCCAGCAGCTCCTCCTGCAAAGCAGCACCAAGGGCACAGCTGGAGACTCAGCAACCCCTCATTTGCTGGAGTAACAATGCTGAGTCAGGTTTTAAGATGAATCTGGTTTTCCTGTAGGTTGTGAGATAGTCACTGAGAAAAACACAGAGAAAAACATCTAAATAACTGATAGACTAAGTACTCTTTCTTACTCTATGTTTTATATCATTTAGAAATCTGCATGTAATACCATGCTCCACATGCACGAGAAAGGCTTCTTTCACCAGAGACCTACTTTCAGATAGCGATCAGATGAAAGAAGTATTACAGAAGAATATCATTGGAGACAGGAATTTGATTAATTTCAAAAAGTTGTAGGACGAAGGGCTGTAATTTTGGCAGCAGTTGGCTTGGCCTGGACCTGCCTCTCCTTGGGTTAAGCAACTTCATGAAGTCATTTCACTGCAAAATGGTAGCAAGAGCAGCTGTGTGAAAGTGTGTCCTGCAGACATACCTGCATAGATTTAGCAAGGATAGGATTTTTCCTGAAGGCTCTAACTTCCTAAGAAATACATGGAGCACCTGTCAAAGGGAAGCTATCATCAGGGCTAAGTCAGCCTGGTTAGGTAATCAGTTCCTCTGCTTTGAGGTGAGAGAACCACATTTGCTGGGAAAAACCACCATTCTGGCAAAAATGAGAAGAAAACCTGACAGTGGTTTTAAATAAATTTTTGGTTTCTGGGACTTTGCATACTGTCATTTTTTTCTACTTTTTTAAACAGATACTGTAATTTTACTAGTAGCTTAGAGTAAAGAAGGCAGCTAAGGAGGAAACAGTAGCAGATTGTCTTTGGTTTCAAAGATGCTAGGATTAGTATCCTAACCTTTAAGTGTAAACATGTAAATTATATGTGATGCATTGTCTAAGTGTGCTATATCTCAGTATAAGCAGAAAAAGCTCTAGTTTCTGAAAAAATGTATTTCAATCAAGCATCAGTAATACTAGATGATACACTATTATGAATGTACTTATTTTAGCCTAATAGCCAAGACAGATGCTTTACAGTAGATCCACCTACAAATTATTAATAGCTAAACATTTCTGCGAATAAATAATGTAACCAGATGTGGAAATAAAAATTAACACCCATAGCTAATTGGAAAAAATATTTTCATCAAATAAAATCTCCACAAAATGCTTTGTTTTGATCTTCAGCTTTTAAAACTCATAATCTGACTTTTCATAATAGGTAAGTATGCATTTCTCAGATCCTCTTTCATCTTAATTGGTTCCCAACTTCCCAACTTCTCTATAGCAAAAGCTGTACTAACAGTGATAGCACCATTTTTTTGTGCTGTGAACAGAAAAAGTACACATCTGGTATCATTTGCTTTCATACACTTTAATGTTTATTAATAAACAGTTGAAATTCTGCATTATTTGAGCATTTTTAAATGTAGACAGCTTCATTCAAAATAATAAAAATGTGTAACTGCTTTTTTTTTTCTGAATAAATACTGATAGTCCCAACAGTGCTATAAATTCAATTCTGTATTTTCAGGTGCCTATTAAAATTATTAGAAGTTGGGGCCTTTAGCATGTCACAGAATAGGAATCCAAATTTCCAGTCAAAATACTTGGTTAATAGCAGACGTCTGTGTCTTATAGTGCTTGACAAAAGAAAGTACCTCTTCTACATTGTAAAACAGTGGAAGAGACATGGGCCATTAGCACAAGCAAAACATCTACACTTGATAAGTCAATCTGGGCTGTTTTTTCCTGTCATGTCAGCAGTGTCTGAAAACAAAGGAGACACAGAAGCCCCAGGAGACAGCGTGTCTGCCCAGCCCTGTTTCTGAGGGATCTCTTAATTTGTGTTTGAAAGCACATAGTGAAACTTCCAGGTGTCAAAATTTAATATGCTACATATCATGCTGCAGCCACTGACACCGTGGGACATGTGAAAGGCTGTTCCAAATTGGTGTCCTTGGGGAACATACATCTATACTTCTTCTCCACCTCCCTGGCTGTCACAACAATCCCTTGATTAGGCAATAAGACCTGGTCTTGTCTCGAGTGATTTGATAAGCAGTTGATAATCAACAGTTCATTAAGCTCTTGGGATATATAAGCCACAAGGTTTTCAGCATGCCTCTGCACTTGAGTGGTTTGACAGCTCCCTGTTCAGCAGCCCAGGAGTCACTGGAAGATGTTATTGACTGCAAAAATACTTGTTTTTGCTGTGAATGGATTCCTAAGAGTGGCAACAGGCTTGGACATTGGATTATCCACGAAATGTGTAGCGATACCCAAGGAGATGGGCATGTGCCACCAGATTGGATACTCTGAAATGAGACTTCCCAACCTGATGGGACACACAAGCATGGCAGAGGTTATCCGAAAATCCACCATCTGGCAGCACCTTGTACACACAGACTGTCACCCTCACGTGAGGACGTTCCTGTGCTCCCTGTTTGCACCCATCTGTTTAGATACGTAAGTATCACAGCACAGTACAAAACTCCAGTCTTTATTTGCCAGAACAGGAATGAAACCAAATGCATGTTTATCATAATCTAAAGGTGAGCTCCACTTTTTCTGAAGTAATTCTGTTAGGTTTTTTGTATTCATCAAGAAAAAGTACTGAAAAGTTGTTCCACTTCAACTTTAGTTTGCCTTGGGAATACGAATGGTGTTGTCAAAGGATATAGTGTTTTCTTTTGTTACAGTTGACCTTTATTCTTATTCATTTAAGGTTGAAGCACCTACAGTGATTAGAATTAGGCTCAGACTGGAGCTTTTCTCAGGTTGTCATAAAGGCATTTTTAAAATTGTAACTAAATATTGTAAGCTCAGTCTATACACAGATCACTTGCATAATTTGCATAGCTGCTGGTTCTGGAATTATATTATTATTGAAGGATGTTAAATGTCAGCCAAGATTATGTACTTTGCACAGGAATCACTGTTGCAGTAATTTATGTTATCACTGAGCTACTTGACTCAGCCTGGTATTTCCTCCAACAACAGGTTCATCCAGCCTTGTAGGAGTATGTGTGCTGCTGTCCGAGATAGCTGTGCCCCTGTGCTCCTCTGCCATGGACATCCCTGGCCTGCCAGCCTGGACTGCAATCGATTCCCTGGGGATGAGGACGTGTGCCTGGCACCTCTTACTAAGGACTATAAATACCTGCATAAAGGTAGCTCGAGGGTGGCGGAGGAGAGGGTGGCCATAGCCTGTGTTCCTGGGAATCAAGGAGATACAAGGGACACTGTTCTCAGACATTCTGTGATTTTGTAAATGCAGTCAAGTCTAGCTTTACTGCTTCACGTGCTCATGCAGGCGGGTGGCAGAGTGCCAGTGCAAGCTGCAGCAGACCTCCAGTGCAAATACAGCAGTGCATCAGGCCATGCTGTGATGGTGGAGGAAGGCAATTATCACCCTGCACAGCTGTAGGCAGTGTCATACACACAGCAGCAGACCATGTTTGAATTGTTTTGAGGTCTCTTTATAGAATTATCAATGGCCCTTATCACAGATGCATTAATGTATACAAGAAGTCGGTTCTCAGATTAGTTTAGGAAAACTGGGATGATTTAATCTGGTTTTCCTTAAAGAAACATGAACTGTCTTGGCATTAATGTTCAAATCTTCAAATGCACTCATACTTACTAACTCTCTGTAAAAGACTAAGTTGCTGCTAGCACACTCAAATTCATATGTATTCACAGGCTTAGCGCAGCTGAACCCAGAATGACTGACAGAATTAGCCACCTAACCCCTTACCACCCACTGTAGTTGTGTTTAAAATTATACTGTATTTGTTACTTTATTTGTGGCTGATAACTGATCTTGTCAGTCTGAACAAGGGCTGAATGTGCATGGAGAATGAAACTGCTTTTCATCTCTAGCCTTGTTTTCAGAGAAGTGTGTTGACTTTTTACCTATTATCACTGGCCTTGTATTTGATGTGTATTTTGTCTGTCATCCCTGCGGTTAAACAGGGGGTTCTCAGCTTTGACAGTGGAAAATTAAAACAAATTATTCTAAAAGATAACAATGAGACTTTGTAATTTCTTATCAGTCCAACCAAAGCCTACCTGCCAGACCTGCCCAACAGTGGAGGAATTCTTTACACACAAAAGAGTTCTTGAAGTTTTCTGTGACAGTAACTTTGGTAAGTCCTTGCTAATGTACCTGGTGTTAAAGAGACTAACAACTCTTTTTCTAAATGCTTTAAAAGTAGGATTACAATTAGTGACAGTTTCTGCAGGGATTTCAAAGGATTAAGAGTTTGGCTGCTAACTTAGCTTGAGGTTGGTTTTCACAATATGTTCTTTCTAATCTAAATATAAGGAGGATTTATTGTGCATGTAAGATTTATTAACGATCTGGTTTCCAAGCAAATAGCTGTTCTGGTCTAGTTGGCTACAACATGCTTTATGGAAAATATTTCTGTCAAAAGCAGCCAAATAAGTAAGTTTGCCTCTTATCAGCATTTAAACTGAAAGTAAAGCTTTGGTGTTGTACTAGTATATGGTGTATCTTTGCTACTTTGGTGAACGAGTTTTTTGTGATACCAAACTTACTGAGAAGGAGACTCTGAAAATCATACCAGTAAAAGGAATTCTTACCTCCTGTTGTCTTGTTGGAGTGATGAGTGGAGTTTGCCCTAGAGACTTCGTGGAAAGCCCTTTGATGGCAGTGCAAAGACTTTCAGTGTCTTTGGCTAGCATTAGATCAAGAAATACAGACAAATGTCATGCTAAAAAGTATTGATGAAGTAAAGTGGGGTAGGTGGATGACTATAATGAAAAGGGAATATCTAAAAGAGTGGTATCAGCAAGCTATTTTTGCCTAGGGATTCCACACATGGACAAGGTGAGTTTCAGGAAAATTGCTTGGGCAATTGCTGGGCAGTTTTGTGATACAACAACAAGACCAATAGCTTACAATATGTAATCACCCGAAGTCTGACATAACATGGTGATGGTAAAATTACTCACACTTGGGAAAATATTTTTTCCTGGTCAACTTATTCAAAGGAAAAAAGCACCTTTACTACATAAAATTTATTTTTCAAAAATGTTTTAAAGTTTTGCTGGAAAAGGCCTCACCATATTCTGTCAGCATAAATTATGATCATATTTTTAAGGAATTTTCCTGTTTTCACTGGTACTCTTTATTACTGCATTTGAAAAATGGTCTGACTTGTGTTTCATTTTCCTTTTTCCTTAGCAGTGAAAGTAAAGCTGTCCAAGAAGAGAACTGCATTTGAGGACCAAGAGTATAACATTGAATGCCAGGTGGAATTCATTACCCAGGGCTCACTCTTGCCCTATGAAACTCAGAGTATGATACAACAGTGGCTGCTAATTAATGAAAAATGTATAGAGAGGATGACTCCAACCCACCGTCCCACGGTGTATCTCCTTGTGGGGAATATTGAAGAGGGCATCATTTTAGTAAAACAGGTTTATCGCTGGCAGAGGAAGGACTCCCAGCTGACTTTGGCCACTCAGAAGTGGAGATACCATAAATGCTTGTAAATATTTTTCGTATTATTTGTAAAAAGATGATTATACTTCTCATGCCAAACCTGTCTTGTAAATAGGAATGTATTATAAGTTGAATATAAAGCTTTAATTTCCTTTTTAATTGTATTGTAAGTTGAACTCAAACCCCAGTGTTATCAGGCTTCCTTTTTTGGTAGTATTACAGCTACTCTCATTCTGTTTGAACTTGGACAGCTATGGATAAATGTTTCTTTGAGTTATGATTTTAAAAAATTGTAATATGTGCAAAACCCAGCATAAACCAGTTTCAAATCCAGCTGACTAGTTTTCATGCATTTGTCTATACCAACCGCTCTACCATTTTCTCCCGTTACCTAAATTTTCCCTTACCTAATGTTTCATGACTCCACCTCATTGTCTCCCGTTGGAGTACTTTGAAAGGAGGCAGCCCTCTGCTGGTCGCTTTTGCCTGAATCAGAGTGGAATAAAGAGAAGAATAAATAACTAAACACGGTATGGTTAGCCCCAGTCACAAGAAGATTTGGTTATTTGGTGTCATAAATGAGATCCCTGCGACTGAAAAGTCCCTTTTCATTTTCAGACACATTACAAAAGTTAATTTATAAAATTTACTTGTTCTCCAAATGGTCTGCGGGGAACTAATGGAGTCAAAATATTTAAAAAAAATACAGTAGGCACATGATTAGCATCCTCCTGGTCAGTGCAATACACTGACATTAAAGACTACGTGAAGATGGACAGAATTTGATTTTAGTTTTATAAAAGTGTGTCATAAACACAGTAACAGGTAGTAATGCATAAATTAGAAACTACTTCAATAATACAGTGTCTATTATTATATTTTCTTGAAACAAATACGGGGAAAGCTTATGGGCAGTAGATTTCTAAAATTCACACCTGGGTTTCGGATACATTCCCCAAAAGTTCAGGTTTTTATCAGGTTATTGAATGTGATGACAGCTGTTCCATCACTTTCTACCATGAACCGGGAAACTAGTAGACACCGATGAAAAAAGCGTTCAATAATCGAAGCAGCTGTGTACACACACGTGTACACCCTCGGACATCGGAGAGGCATCAGCGCCTGGGCCCACCCGGGCCTCGTCACTCTGTGCCAATGGAGGAGTCATCCCTTTAGTCCAGGTTCTTACTTTATTTTTCATTATGTCAGAGGATGCCACACAGCCGGGGCTGTGGGTTGGTTTGCTCCTGGGCCAGTTCCACGCTGAAACCCTTCCGGCTCGGCTCGGCTCGGCAGCACGGCGCCAGCGCTCCCGCAGCGCCATTCAAATCGCCCGCCCGGCACGCCCACAGCCAGGCCCGGGACGCACCGTCTCCCCGCCTCCCCGCCCTCGGAAGGCGTCGGCCGGGCACGGGGCCGGGGAGGTTCTGTGCGAGGCTGCCGGGCTGTGCCGGGGCCCGCCAGGCTGCGCTGAGGGCTCCCAGGCTGCGCGGGAGGCGAGAGGCGGAACGGAGCGCGCCCGGGGCCCATGGTACGCGGCCCCGCGGCCGGCAGTGCGCTCGCATCCGCTGTCTGCCCGTCGGCTTCTTTATCTCTCTTCAGTGTCTCTCTGGGGTTTTTGAAAGACCGATAAAGTTTTAAACCAGACAGGTCCCTGTAACTGTTCTGCGCGTGAAATCCCGTTGTTCCTACTTCGTGGCTTTGTAGGCCAAGTTCTCCCCGCAGCTCCTTGGTCTCGCCTTACAGGTAAGTGCGTGTGGAGGGACGGAGGAGGCGGCCTGTGCCCGGAGCCTCCGCTGCTGGAACGGCCCGGCCGGGCCCGGGGCTTGGGGAGCTGCGGATCCCCCCCGCACCCGAAACGCCCGCGCCCAGCTCTCGGTCACTGTGAATCCTGCCTGCCCTCGCCCAAGGTCGGTGGGTGCAGTTTTGTCAGAATCTGAGACCTTAATGTTTTCTTTGATTTCGTTCTGTAAGTACGAAGTCTAAAGTACAAAACTGGCATGCAAGCAGGTATGCTCTGTGCTTTTATTCTCACTACTTAGTGTAATAGTAACTGATTTAAGTTTACTTCTGATGTGAAATATGTGTCTTGGGGTTTTTGATCTGCTCAGTTGTAGCAATGGCTTCAGGAACAGCGCTGATTTATGATGCGGAGATGACCACTCACAAACTGCTTTGGAGTGAGTAAGTCACTTCTGTTATTTTTATTAATAGATTCTTATTGGGACTCGTGAGAGCAGTACCAAAATAAATGCATTTTTGTAAATGTAATAGGAAGTGTCTGGTGATACTTCCTGTCATTTCCTAGTAAATAGAAAGTCTTTCCTTTAGGAGGAAAAAATTATTTTATTCACAATTCATGTCTAGATACTGTAATGATTATCTTAAACTGGATTTGAGAAGCTGCAGGCATCCTGTCTGGGACGCCTTAACAAGAGGTGTTAGGATGAGGCATTTGAGTAGCCCCCTAAATAATGTGTTTTCAGCTAATTAAATTGTTTATAAAGCTCAAGTATCGTTGACCTTGGAAAAGTATGTAGATATACTCACTCAGCTGAAACATGTCAATTACATTCAGTTAGAAATTGGTATATTACTCAAATATGCATAATAGAGGAATTCCTTTGCAGTGTTAAGAGTAACAGTGCATTGTTGTCTTCTCTCCCAAACCTGCTTCTCCTCTGTTCACCTTCATTGTAACCTACAGATTTTAATTGTAGCATTCCCGTGTTTGTAGTTAAGTATTGCAACTTTTACCAGTGAGAGAGGAAACAAAAAATGATGCTATTGTACTGATTATTTGGGTTTTTTAAGATTTGTTTTTGCTTACATATTTTAGAATCAATTTCTGCCTCAGTTCAAAACAGAAAATACTTAAAGATTTTTTTTCCATTTTTACTCTCATGTATCTTTTTTTTTGAGTAATGAATTTTCTTAAAATTGAGAGTTAAAAGCAAGGCTTTATGAAGTATATTAGTAATCTGTGCTGCTGTCGTATTATAGTAATATAATGATTGCTTATTTTTAGCCCCATTTGTGATATTGAAGTGCCAGAAAGACTTTCATCCTCCTATGAGCAGCTTAGAAGTTACCATCTTGTGGAAAGATGTGTTCATGTGCCTGCCAGAGAAGGAACTGAGGAGGAAATCCTGCTGGTTCACAGGTCTGAAGCTTAACTTTCATTCAGATGAATTCAATGAAACAATAGATCTTGTATCTCCAGATTACATTTTGATCCATTTGAAAAGAGTGTTCCAAAATTCAACGTCTTCCATTAATTTCAATGGAAAATGTGTCACAATGTTGAGTATGGCATAGGTGCTGAATTAGGGATTTGCTATTCCACTAAATCTACATTCTCAGTCTGTGGGTCTTAAGCAATGAATGCTGATTTATACATAGGAATACAAGCAAACTTCTAAAAAATATTTATAGTTGCTTATTTAAGTCCTGTGTTAATCTCTCTTTCCCCTGCAGTTTAGAGCACTTGGAAGTGGCAAAAAGCACTCAGACAATGAATGAGGAGGAGTTGAAAAGGGTCTCTGAAAATTACGATGCTTTTTTCTTTCATCCGGTGTGTAAGTTAAAATGCTTCCTCTATTGGGACTTACAACTATTTGTGTTACTGCACCTGAGTGGCATTTTTCTAAGGAGAAGATTAAAAATACATTTTTTGCTACTGACGTTGTCTCACATTTATTTATTATATTATCATTATCTGTTCCTAGTTTAGTATAATGCTGTAATTTAAGTTGCTCAAGTGTCCTGTCATCTATTTTGTAATTGTATCACACCAATATAATGCACTACTCAAATTTTAGCTCTATTTTTACCACGTAATGTCACTGTAGACCATTAGTGGCCTGCAAATCACAGTTTGGTAACAATTGTTCTTAAATGTTGTGCCATGAAATGGAGAGGAAGTCTTTTGTGTTACGTTTCTGTAGGGTTTAATTCATTTTTTTCGAAGATGCCATGTTATTCCACTCAATACATCCATCTCACATTTTGTAACTGCTCCACAGAGAACATCCTTATAAAGATTATGGTGATCACTAGTAATCAAATGGGAAAGCATATTGGAGCCTGTGTTGTAAAGTTCTATAGCTTCAGTGGAATTATGTTCTTATAGCTTCAGTGGGGTAGAATTATGTTAAGACAATTTGCTGTTGGGATGCTAAAGCATGCCACACGTGCCTTGTTTAAGCTGATGAGTTTCTCTTTCTCAGAGCACTTACCGCTGTGCCAGACTAGCAGTAGGAGCAACTTTGCAGCTGGTGGACGCTGTGATGTCAGGAAAAGTGCGCAATGGAATGGCGTTAGTCAGGTAACAAAATACGGGAGGAAGTTTTCACTTAGCAGAATTTCGTTTGTTCTGAGTAATTTATAAAATTTTGGTTCAGACCTCCAGGTCACCACAGCCAGAGAAATGCAGCTAACGGTTTCTGTTTATTCAACAACGTTGCTATTGCAGCAGAATATGCAAAACTGAAATATGGCCTACAGAGGTAAGTGCATGGTTGACTCTAGAGAAGCTTTTTATATGTAAACAACAGTTTGACATTGTACTAGTTTAGATTAATGTCTAGAGCTTTCTGGGTGACATGTTTCTTTTGGTTCAGAAAAACATTTTTCATGTATACCTTCTGTAGATTAAGATGCTGTGGCTCGTCTTCTGAATGTTTTCTTTTACTGATCTATACAGAATCCTAATTGTTGACTGGGATGTGCACCATGGGCAAGGAACCCAATATATATTTGAAGAAGATCCAAGGTTTGATGGATTTTTTTTTTCTTCTGTAATGTCAGCTGTTTAAAGATTGCTTGCCTTTGTAGAGAATAAGATTTCTTAAACTTCTAAAACTAGAGTCTCACCTTGGTATTTTAGTGTCTCTGTTTTTCATTTGTTATAAAATAGAAGGAAATACCTAAATCAAAATAAAATGTAAATCTTTAAAGAATATAAATATAAGTCTTCAAAGAATATTTTAAAGAAAAACAAAATAAGCAGTATGATTACCTTGTTTGCCACTACTCGGGTAGTACATCTGTTCTCTGTTCATGACTCTCCCAGTTAAAGTCTTCAAGTAGTAGTTGGATAAAATACATGAGCTTAATATTTTTTTTGGAGAAGCAATACAAGTAGGTTCTAGAAACAAGTCTGCTGTTCTGAAAATTCCTTGCATTTGATCTGTATGGAGTGCATGCTTACAGGACATTTTTAGCATGTTAATTTTTAGGTTAATTTTGGCATAGGACCTACTATACCAGTTTTCACAGTATAAGTCCGTTAAAGGAACTAAATAGAAAGGATAAGTTAGTTTTATTTTCTTGCTTTCAGGCAATGGATTCACCACGTTCAGGGTATACAGTAATTTTCACAATCTTTTTGTCAAATTGGATTTTTTTTTTTTTCAGTGTTTTGTACTTTTCTTGGCATCGCTATGAACATCAGGAATTCTGGCCATCACTCAAAGAATCCAATTATGATGCTGTGGGTCTGGGAAGAGGAAAAGGTTTTAACATAAATTTGCCTTGGAATAAGGTAAATATTGTTTACAGCACAACAAAGCAAGTGCAATAGCTTTGTATCTCATCCTTTATGTGACACTTTCTGAGTAAGTGCACTGCTTCACTTGCTTGACAAATGTCTTACACGGTGTATATCCTTCCTGTTAGGGGAATGTCTGCTGGAAAAATATGTCTCAGAATGTGATAATGTTTGAAAAATAAAAGGGAGATAAAAATTTACACACTCATTTTTACTTTAATATCTTGCTTAGTCATCAAATCAAAAGCTGTTTCAGGAGATGATTACATCCATCCTTGTTTAGCAGAAAACTGAAGCTCATTAAGATTAAAGATGGTAGATACTTATGCACTTTACTTAAATAGAGAGTTTTTTACTGTACTTCTTAAGGTTCCCTCATCTTTTCCTATCTTTCCCTAAAGGCTTGAAGAACCTTAGAAAATTTGTCATTCTAACTGGAAAACATGACCAGTGTTTCTCATATTTTTCAGGTTGGGATGGGGAATTCAGATTACCTTGCTGCATTTTTCCATGTGTTGCTTCCGATGGCTTTTGAGGTAATTTTTTACTGCCAGAGAGTACTTCCTAAGTGTTTCTTAAGCAGATACCATTGAATATTTTACAGAAATTCAGTAATTGCCAGTAGCACAGTTAATACATTTATTCTGCTAGTATGACGTTGCCCTGGTCAATTGAATAGTATTTATGGAATTTTAGCTTTTAAATATTCGATGTAATCATCTGCAACTTCTCCAGAAACAAAAATAGTATAAAAGGGTAATGTGTTCAAGAAGAATCCTTATTTGTGTTCATATTCTAATTGAAATAACAATCGTGGTACAGTTGAAATCCCATACAAAATTGAAAATAGGACATGAATATGTGCTACAGGTGTCTCTGTTTTATAACAGTTTGATCCTGAACTGGTTATTGTCTCCTCTGGATACGATTCTGGAATTGGTGACCCTGAAGTAAGTAACTTGTGGTCCTTGTGTTGTCAGTCATGAATCAATTAGGAAAATATTCCTGCTGTTCTAATGTCCTGCGATTGCTAAGTGCAGTTCACTTTGATCAAGCTAAAAATACCTGCTTGAGTCTTTAGGCTGACCCAAGTTCATTAAACATTACAAAAAGACACGCAAAGAAAAATTACTGTGTTGGTTTTTTTCACCTTTCTTAAATGCAGTTGGTTCAGCATTGTGTGTGATATAATGAGAGGCAAGTGTTCTAGTGTTCCATCTCAAACTTGGATACTTCACATTGTTTGTTTGGGTTTCTTACCAGTGTTTTTGAATCAAGGTATCATCTCATAAAATTTTTTCTTTGGTTTAGGGTCAGATGAATGCCACTCCTGAGGTTTTTGCTCACCTTACCCATTTCCTGATGCAGTTAGCTAATGGAAAGCTGTGTGTCATCCTAGAGGTAAAGACTTCTGAAATGTACTCCCAGGGGAAAGGTCTTTGTATTACAGCCATTTAGGGTAAACTAGAAGCTAGGAAGTAAAACTTCTTAATAAAGTAATTTCTTACTTTTATCTTTCTTTCGGGTACCAGGAATGCAAAAATGGCTAAGATTTGACAGCACTCTTACACTTCAGTTTTGAAACAAAGGAGCTGTATGCTCATCATTGAAAAAAACATATCTTTCACAAATCTTTTCAGTTCTTGTGAACAGTGATTAGTTTTCTGCTCTTGACAGTCCCAAACTCATTAAAATGTATTTAGTGAACAGGCTGTATTACCAATGTTTTCACAAGTATCTTACTCCAGGAGACTTTATAAAACCTTTAAAATATACTCTTACTTAGTAATGGAGCACTTAGAAAATTCCCTCTCTTTTGATTTAATGACTGTATGCAGGCTCTTTAGGAGCTCTTTTATATTCTTTTTTAAAGCAATTAAAATTTTTTCTCCTTTTGAAATCTAGACCAACTCCCTATTTCTGCTGCGTATTAGAAAAATACGCAGTGTATGGAAATACACTGTGTGTGGAAATACTACTGCCAACAAGGTCTTCAAGACTGAACTGTATATTAATGGATTCACTTGACCTCTTGTTTTGCATGACCTTTCTTCTGTCGTCCTTCTCTCTAGCAGGTTATCACAGATATTTTTGTCTGTTAGCTGAAGTACAAATAAGCATTCACTCCTACCACAGATGGTGTGACTGCTCCGTAGGGGATATATGGCTTCCTGCATGTCACCTAGCAGTCTTGAAGCCATCTTTTTCTACAAATTCTGCTAAACTCTTAGGCAACCACATCTTAAATGTGTCAGGCTGTGGTAGATTTCTCTTGTACAGCCATTTTAGAGGACGATGATAGCATTTGCCTTCTAAGGAATCTTCCTTAAGGATTCTTGAATATGGCATGTTGTAGATGGGAATGGAAAAGGCATGTGTTTTTATGGCAAAGTAATGACTGATTTCTGAATTTACTTGAACTATGACAAAGTGAGTTCAATCATGAGATGCCAGTGAAGTTCAGCAGGTGGCCACTAACTTACTGTTTTCATATTGAAAAATCATTGACTTAGATATACTTGCATATCATCTTCTGTTTCTATGAATACAGATATATTTCAAAAGGATTGTTTATTTTGTATGTTGGCATTCAGAGAGATGTTAAAAGTACTTGTCCCTTAGTTGACACAAAATACTTTTTAGGGTGGATACCACTTGAAATCATTGGGTGAATCAGTGTGCATGACTGTAAAAACTTTGCTCGGAGATCCTGTACCTCAGATAACTGGAGAAATGGCACCTTGTCTAAGGTAAGCATATAAAGAATTTTAGAACAACTAATGTGTTTTTTAAAGAGACTAAAAACATGCATGCTTTGAACATTTTACCAAAGTAAGGTTTTAATATAGTTGTTTATAATATATTATTTTCTACTTTGGATAACTTGCATTTTTAAAAAAGTCAACCAAGGTATGGTTTTACATACTTTTGTTTCTGAAATTATTGCAAGTTGTGAGATCTTATAGCATAAACCATTGTATCCTTAGGCCTCGTTATCGTATAGAAATCCATCTCACTCAGGGTTTAGATAATCCTGCTGTAATCAAGATAATACCAGCTAGCTATAGCCAGTATTTGGAAATGTATGCAACCGCAAGGATTAGTGCTTCAGACCCCAGAGCCACTTCAGTCTCTGTAGTACACCGGTAGTTGGGGGAAACCTTTCTCTCATCAGTGAGAGTTGATGCTGTGCAGAGCCAGTCTTGATGAATACTTGTGTGTCTGGAATTTGGAGCATCAAGGCCTGCGGTGCAAAAGCACTTGACCATGTAGAGCTGTACCAAGATAATTAAATTTCAAGTCTAACTTCTTTTTAGAGACACTGTGTTTGTACAGTGGTGGAATGTGACCTAGTAAGCATTCTGAACCTTGGGCCTGAATCAGTCCCACATCTAAAGAGTGTCTCTCTCTACCTGTCTGCACTATGTCGTCCACATTTCCGTGTTCTGTCCGCCATCTTTCTCCCGGCTAAGTAGTTGTCCTGTGCTTTTTCTAGCAGAAATACTCCTCATGCGCTTTGGTGGCAACACCTCCCAGTTGGCTGTGTTAGTTAAAACTCAGAGCTTGCATCAGTCAGGGAAACAGTGTGGATATATGTGGCCTGAGTTGCACTTGGTAAACTGATGGAGCAAAACTGGTTATTTTGCTCCTAGCACGTCACATAAGCACCCTTTGTGCTCTTTGTCCTCTTTTTCTTCTCTACCAGCTGCGGTATCTCAGATTGCTATCATCCTATGTCATAGAGAGGTGATTATGTACTTATCCAATATGTCAGTCCAGCTCCTGAACACCTTACAAATAATCTGGAAATACATGGAATTTCTTCTGGATTTAATACTATCTGAATTATGTTTGTGTGATAGCTAATGCAATGGGACTGTTTGCCCATAGTGCTGCAAATACCAGTGATAATAAAAAGGAGACTTCAACACAAAGAATAGCAGGGTATGTGATTTACCTAGTTCCTGAACTGATTGTCTTGATTTTGAGTCAGTCTAATTAAATCTTTAATCTAAATTTAATCCCTTGGCAAGACATTGACAGACAGAGAAATTTTCCCTCAATTCATACAGGTATGCTTCCTCCAACAGTAGGGTTGGGATTTCACTCAACATGTAAATGTGTGTACATGCTTTATGTGTTCTTCACTTTTCTTTTTTGACTCTAATCTTTTCAAGCAATATGCCCATTGACCCTCATTCTGTTTTGCATTATTTTAAGAGATCAAAGTTTGTTTATTTTCAGTTGGAGTTTTTGATTTGTGGGTTTTTTTGTTTTTTTTGTTTTTTTGTTGAGGTAAATTATGATTCCTCTTATGATTTTCATTATTACTGATACTGTTAATCCTGGTTTATTTTTTAGTGCCATTGAATCTATTCAAAATGTGAGAGCAGCACATAAACCCTACTGGAAATGGTTGGCTTATGAAGGTAGTTTCTGTTCATTCAAGCAAATATTGTTGATAAATGGATTTATACAGAAATTGAAAATTATTAAAATTAATACCAGTGGATTCAACTAATTGAACAAGCAGTTATTCATCAAGTGACTGATGAAGCAGTGAGACTTCATTCGAGGTCATGTCTTCAGCTGGTCTGAAAAGAACTTTCTGAAGCTGGCAAATACCATGCCAAAAAATAGCACTTTGATATCTTTGTTTGAGGATGCTGTTTTCTGTGTCAAAAATATGGGCATAAGCTTTATTACAATAAATGACCTTTCACTAGATTAAAACAAATGTAGTAGCATTGAAAAAATAACATCTGTGTCAGGGAACATTGTAGCTAGTGCATGGGAGTAAATATGCATACTATGAATACAGATGTATTCTATTTTGTGAATAAATACATCCAAGTATTAACACATTACTTAGAAACTAATACCTGTGAAACTTTCCTTTCTTTTTCTCTAGATACATCATTTTTACAAAATTTGAGCACCAAATCACACTTCCTAAAGAAGGCTAATTCACATCCCTCCACAGAACATGAATCTGAGATAACTAACAACACTGTCAAAGTAGACAGTTTTTTGGAATTGCACATGAAAAATATTTTGTTTCCAGTGCCTCCCATCAAAACAGCAACAATTGGCTGTGAAGGTTCTGAGCATTTTCTCCCTGAACATGTTCAGCTGATGAAGGAAATGGACAAAACTGAAATAAAAGCTCTTGTCAGGTTGGTCCTATTTATTTTATTTTCCACAGAGGATGAGAGGTCTCTATACAGACTGTCATCTAGCTCTGTGTTTGCCATGGTCATCTTTTTGGCCTTAGTCTACTCAGTTACAGCCAGAATTTCTTCCTTTATAAATAAAGACATTGGTGTTGTATAGCACTCATAGCGTGAAATCCTTTAAAGAAATAATCAGAATACTTTTTCTCTATAGCTCTTTCAATCGAGATAGGACAGCTAATGCGAACTTTTTAGCTGGAAAAAATACCAAACTGCTCTGATTTGAGAACCTCAATGTTTTGTCTTGTCTTCATCTAATTTTTGATAGAACTCTGTTTCCTGAATATCATCAGACATTTTTATTTTCTTTCCAGTGCAGAATGGAGACAGGTTTAGAGAGCTGAAGACTGTCAGGCACTGGTGTTGTCATCTTCCTGGTAGAGCAGGTTTCTGAGAATCAATGTGTAGCACCTATACAAAATGTACCCCATTAATACTAACTGCAAAGCACTTTATCAGTGTCCTCTTCAAAGACAGTATTGCACCTAACCTAATTTTTCTTCATATGATTTATCTTACAGTGGCTTTTATGCAGACCTTGTGAAAGAGGACAAAACTTTGCTCTCCCTTGGCAGTTTGTTTGTAATCCTAGATAGAATACTTAAGAAGGAGGTAATAATATATTGCCTTGGTCTTGGGGGTAGGAGTGGCTTTGTATTCCTCTGATTTTTTTCTTCTATTATATTGTTGTCCAGATACTAGTTACTATTTATCTCCCAAGTCCACTAATCTCAGCAAGAATGTGTTTAGCTATGACAGTGAGCATGCAAGATGAGAAAACGACTATTCAGGGATAGCCGTTAACCCCAATCTATCTTTCTAATTATCTTTGGGCAACTCACTGTCCCGACTTTCTGTAGGTAGTCACAGAATGAGTCCCTAAGAACCTCCTCATTACTCTCAGACTTACAGGGAGCCAGGCATTAAGTCTTCCAGTTAAGGGGAGCAGAAGTTGCTGTATCAAGAAACAGCAAGAAATCTGAAGAAATATCAATACTTTCCGTGTCTCAATGTGCAGAGTTTACACAGTAAATTTTGACTTACATATGCATGCACACACATACTCTAGTGGTGTTTTCAACAGCTCTGCTGTATGCTGTGATTCTGGACAGAGTAGTTCTAGTTCAGTATTTTGGTTCTTGCAGGGTCAGGAATAAAGAGAGGGCAGGCTTAGAGGGTGCATCTTCATATTTATGTGTGAAAACTTGGATGAGCATAGAAGAAGAACTGAAAACAAGTTAAAAATATTACATCGTAATAAGTTGCTTTCACTCACTTTCTTTGAGTGAAAAGCTCTCTTTAAGGTACCAGGCCTGCAAGGAAGAGTAACTACCACAATGGCCTCTTTCTTCTAAGACATCTTTCTCTTGGAAGTGACATATGAAGATCCTAGGGACAAATTTCTGACATTATAAACTGCATACAACTCCAGGAGAGCCTATAAATAGGTTTTTAAAAATGGTTACTAGTAGAAAGAAGTAGAACTTCTAATGAGTTGCAGATGTAAGCTAACTTTTTGTGCTGACAAAGAGGAGGAAGGAGCAGGGGAAACATCTTTTTGCTTAGCTTTTGTGTAGAGTTCAAAGCACACACCACAGATGAACACTGAAGGGTTGACTGAGTAATACAGCAATTGTATTTTCCAGTAAAGAATAGCTTGCCTAAAGGAAGAGTCAGAATATTCAGGAGCAACCTCCTTTTCACAGGGTGTATTTTTCTGCACAGTTTGCAGACTATCTAGAGACCCAGTAAACATGGCCTTCCCCTGGCAAAGCATTTTTACAGTTGCCTTCGGTATAGCATCATACTTTTGAAATAATAGTGCAGTTTATGGCATAATAATCAAATATGGCCTTTCTGTAGAAAATTAATTAATACAAGCTGTTACACTTTAAAAATGATGTGATCTTTTGCAGCATTTTTTCTGAATGAAAAATGTATTTTGTAGGTGTGTAATGGAATTACAGCATCACCCACAGCTGCTCTTTCTACTGCTGTTGCACTAAGACACTCTGTTCGTTTTGGATTTCAAAGGTAAATTTGTACGTTTTGCATTTAGAAGCCTTTGACAACATGTTAAAACCAAATACTAAGTGTGGCAAATATGGCAAATTGCCCGTGAAACCTTGATTTTAAAACAAATAGCATGCCCACACAAATAGCATTTTCAACATGTAATCCAGGTAACAGTGTATACACCAGAAACAACCTTTTGCCTTTCCAAAGGCAAAATATTTGTAAGGATGATGCTGTGCTAGCCTACACCTTCTTTGTCAGATTTCAGTTGGTTTTGGCTTGGGGACAATTTATTGATTTTTGTTTTCCCTCCCAGTATTTCATGGAAGAAGTGGGGTTCCCTTGAGCTGTCCTAAATGTGTTTTATTTCTACTTTTAATAGACCAAGTTCAGTATACATCCTTTCTAATGCTTTTAATCTACATGCAAACTTCTATACAAATTGCATTAACTGAAAGAAAAAAGACTTGTAAATGTATGTAAATTATTGTTTCCTGCAGAGTGCTTTGTGTATTTGTTGGAGACATGGAGATGATACCAAACACAGAAGATGGGTGAGGTCTCCCTTTACATTAGGGAGTACAGTCCCAAGCACTTTCTAAATGTTCATTAAGTGTCTGTATGTGTGATGAAATCTGTACTAAGGAATCAGTCATGAGCTGACATTTATTAAGTTTAGCTTGAGACATAATACAAAACATCCCCAAATGCATCTTAAAAGAAAAATTATTCCCCGAAATGCTATTTCGTGCATTTGGTGGTAGTTTTAAAGTATAATCCCTCTGTATTAATTGAAATTTAGATTGCTGTTGAAAATACAATGTAATAAATAGGGCAATTATTAATTAATAAGTCCTCTCTCTAGAACTGCAGGAGGCACATAGTGCTGATGCAGAGTTCATTATTGAAAGTCTTCTTATATATAATTCTTTTCATCTCCCCTTTTCCTAAAAAGTAATTTGCCAATAGTCTTTAATCATCTTTTTAAAAATACCATAAAAAGGATTTTAGTTCTAATTGTTTACATTTTGGAATGTACTAATGCAAATAGTTATTTGCTCTGGTATTATAAATTTGTATTTAAAGAATGATGAAAGAAAATATCCCATTTTTATACCATTGGGAAATAATTAGTTAAATTCTCAAGTGAGGTTTTTATTTGCAGAAAAATGCTTATCATAAACATCTGTGAGAAAGAACAGTCTGGAAAGACCAGTTGCAAACACTGTATTTCTCTAAACTGGAAAGAGGTAAGATATTACTTTCTGGAAACAGCATAGGAGAAATTTTTTTTTAACAGAAATAATGGAATATATTTAGAAATTTATAAAATTACATTAAGAATTACACCCCTTATTCCACTTTGGACCTTTGAAAACTTTTCCTTTTTTTGTCCTTGCCAGGGTACTACTCTTTCAGAGCGCTTTAGAGTGTATTAGAATGCATAGGTTTGAGGAAACCTTCCGTAGTTACTGCAGTTCATCTTGAGCACGGCAGAGTTACACTGTAAAGATGCTAAGGAAAAGATGAATAATCCTGCATGTTTAATATAAAAATTGCTGGGGAAATAGATCAATATCCTGTTTCCTTAGACAATCAAAAGCTTTTTGAGAGTCACCTTTCTGTTTTGTTTTATATCTGGGAATTTGGGGTTTTACATTTGTGCTAACCAATTTGTTGTTCTTGTTAAAGGATGCTGAAGGAAATGATTTCTTTTCTGCTCTAGTTGGATTCATTCTTCCTGTAGCATATAGTTACCAACCAAACTTAACAGTAATAGCTGTTGGACCAAACAGGAGCCTTGAAATAAGTGGGATTTCTCTGCTTGTTGCTTTACTACAAGGATTAGCTGAGTCTCGAATTTTTGCTGTGATTGAGGTAAGAAGTGGTGCTAAGCCGTGATACTTCAAAGTGTCTGGCAGAGCTGCTGGTATGAACTGCTTCAAGCTGCACAGTAGAGAATACTGGCTGTATTTAACCTGTCTTTGGTACCCCTTTGTGAGTTCACAGCACAGACAGAAAGAAACTTGGGCAGTCTTGAGAACAAGACAAGGCACAGCTGCACACCGAGGTGTAGGCAGTTGTCGCAGCCTACACAATGGAGAAACCAAGGCATGAACACAAGTCCATCGTTATGTCTGTGGACCATAGATGTTCTGTCAGTTTGCCACAACTTCCATTTCTATCTGGGATCCACAGCTCAGTTGTCTCCTGAAAAGAGGCATTTCCTGTCTGTTAAATCATCTGGGCTCTTTCCATCAAATGTGACTGAAAGCAGCCCGTTGTCCTGTTCATAACAGACCGCTAAATTTACTCTCCTCTCCCTGGTGCTATACTTTGTCACACATGACTTCCAGCCTGCAGAACATAAATCAGAAGGGTACATATCCTTCAAGTGAACTTAATTGGGATAATACATAATTGAAAACCAGAGTATCCCAGCTTTGGGTTTCGGGTAAAGAGCGTTGGAAAGAAAATAAAAAATACAGGGACTTTTCCTAGGCTAACTTTTTCTATATGCTACCACATGAAGGATGCCTAAATTTAGGAGTTAGAGACTGTATCCAGAGCATTGATCAGTGTCAGTGTGAGTGTGTCTTTCATGAATTTGTCTAATCACATAAAGAACTCAGTTTACGCTCTTGTCCTCTCCAGCATCCTGTGGTTGTGAATAACACTGATTCTCAGTGTGATCTATGAAACAGTAACTTTTGATTACATTTGCGCCGCCTTCTTCAATGAGAAACAACAAAAAATTTTTCATGTATGCTTATTCTAATCTGTTCCACCATCAAATATCCAATTACTGCCATGCTATTCCTTAAGCTGCCAGTTACGTGGATTTTGGCATATAATTTATTCTGTAGTTTTCTCAAATGTTATTTGCTTTAATTTACAATGCTGATACATAAATTGTCTAAGCTAAAATAATTTATACATTGGTATGCAGTATCCATAAATAACGTATTTGCACACTACTAATTAGGATTATGAAACTGAGAGAATTACCGATATACTGAAGTTTAAACTCAGACAATAAAAGAATATTAGGCATATATGTTTAATAAAAAGATTGATACTTTTATATTAGTACTCTGCAGGTAGCTCCGTAAGAGGATCATGATTTTCTAATGCATGTGCATGGCTTTTTAGAATACTTGAAAAAATGCTTCTATCTCTTAAAAACAAAATAGTGTTACAGTCTTCCAAATATAATCTTCATATAGTATCAACATTTCAAATACAATTTCTGCAGGGAAATGATATTGATTTAAACTGTGAGAAGTCCAAAAGTAAATTTATTGAATAAGCAAAATATATTACTGTTTTCCACTCATAGAAAGTATGTGATGCATGAAGTAAGCAAGCTCCATGCTTAACCTCATAATATACTGTCCTTAACCCAGCATTATTTCTTTTCAGTCATAAAAGGAAAAGTGCAATTCTTTCTCCATTTGAAAGAAACAAGTTTTACAACAGATAAAAATTAATTCACGTTTTTCAGGAAAAGCCTCTATTTGAAAATGTGAGGTTGCTCATTCTTGCTACTAATGCTAGCAATTTAATTATAAAAGCTTGCTTTAAAATATTTCATGTATCACTGAAACAAAGAGAGCTTGGTTCACAGGGGTATTTTTTCTTCCTAATCAGGACACAGAGATAAGTTTAATGCAAAATGTAGCCAAAGCATTGGTGGGTGCTTCTACACCTTCCTTTGGAATCTACGTACCTCCTACCCAAGAAAAAGTAAATAAAATAAAAGCATTAAGAGGGCAGTTTCAGCAGGAATGGAAAATGCTTCAGTGTTCAGGTAAGTTGTCTGATTTTATCTTTAACTCTTATACACAGTAAGTTTCTGAAAAGATTATCTGTAAATACAGCTGTGTTGTGTAAGTCAGTGGGACATTTAAAGTCAGTTGGGGCAGACTGATCTAATGTGAAACTGGTGAAACTCTGAATTCTTCTAATTCTGTCACTTGAGCCAGAAAGCACCAAATTTCATAGCATAACAACTGTACTCTTGGGACTTAGAATACTGTTACTCCAAAATTTTGGAATGAAATTACCAAAATACATGCTTAAAGAATGGGTAGCAAGGTGTGCCCTGTCTCTGATTGCTAATGTGTTTTCTGAATATAGTGCCAGAACAGGTGATATTTTTATGTTTGACTTGTCCACAAATAATTCAATAATGATTAGTCATGTTGTAAGTACAGTCACAAAGAACTAAAGATCAGGCATTCCATCTGTACAGGAATCAGGCCAGGCAGGTAGGTATGTTTTCAAGCGTTCTTGTCTAGAAATGTTTCTTTGCTGAACGACTTCTGTTTTTCAACAAAAAAAGGCAATTATGATTGTGGGCATCTCTAAAAGAAAATACCATTCTCTCTTTCAGAAGAAATGCTCAATACCAGGGGTCTGCTTCCAATAAAAATACTCTTGTTGCAGTCAGGAATTGTGGTATGAGCTTGATTAATAACTGGTTTTGTTATTGCTGTTTTTTTAGTGAAGGAGGGGATTTCAAGAAATTGATTTCACTTCAGAGTCATTTTACAAAGAAGAAGAAAAGGAAAATATGAGGACTTCACTCTGCCTTCTTTTCAAGCATAAATTGTCTGTCTAATAAATAAGAACTCCAAATCTCCAGAGACTTAGTAGTGGCCTAAGGCCACATCATGTAAATTCTCAAAATTAAACATCCCAAGACAATAGCCTAGATATGCCTTATTTTGTAGTGTTCCAGGTATGATTTAGGGATCATTTTCAAGAGCACTTTTTTGTTATTGTGACTTCAATAATTTGACCTTTTGATTTCAGACCCTTCAAATTATGTTTATACTGGTGTTCCTACTGGGTTCAACTTTATATCATATGGAATAAATAATCTTTTTTAATTACAGTGCTTCTCTCCTCATTTGTTTTGGTTTTCAGATATTGCTGAAGATGAAATGATACCCATCTTGAACATTTTGAAATTAAATTCTCTTTCAAAAGAAAATAATAGCTATGTGAAAGATTTTTCGCAAAGAGCTGAAGAACATGAAGATGTTCTGTTTCAGTTTAGAATTTCTTTAAACGGACCTTTGAAGTTCAGAAAGGTATTTAAATTGCAAAGTGGCCAGTGGCCAAACTTTAGTTTCAGCATTTTTCCTAACAGGACATACGTTTCCTAACAGGAGATTTCGCTATTCTCCCCTCTTGCACTCTCTCCCCTAAACGCCTCCTCCCCTCCCTTTTTTTTTTAACTCAGCATTTTCAATGAAAAAGCATTTTCTGAGAAACAGCTCAGCTCTTTCCCCTTTCCCTTTTTTCAATGTAATTTACAGTGTTTGAATCACATTAATGTTGCATTTTGATACGAATTTTTCTAAGCCTTTATTAAAACATGAATTAAGAAGGGAAACAGCGTACTCTTGGTAAATCTGTTTGAAAAGACCGTCAATAGGCTGCAGTTGCCTCCCGCAGCTCGGGCCCAGCGTGGTTCATTGTTTCTGGCACTAGCGTGTTGTTATATATTTGTCAGCCGAGTGGGGACGACGTTTAGGGCGAGTAGCGCAGGAATCGCTTAAGCTTCCCGGACGGAGCACATCGGCGTTTCCCGTGCCGGTGCTGAGGGGCTCTGCGGCAGCGCCGGGCCTGAGGGAGGGAGGGAGGGAGGGAGGGGCGGCCCGCGCGCTCCCTGGCAGCGGGGCGGGCCCGGGCGCGCTCGGGTGACGTCGGCGGAGCCGGGAGGAGGCGGCAGCGCCGGCCCGCTCCCGCTGCAGCGCCGCAGGTACGGCCCGGGCGGCGGCCGAGGGGCGGGAAGGGCGAGAGGCAGCGCCGCGGGGCACTGCTGCGGGTGGCGGGGGGCTCGGGGGGGTTGGCGCGCCGTGCTCGGGCCCAGCTGGATGCTCAGGGTGAGCCCCGCCGCCGGCAGCTCCTCCGGGGGTGCCGACACCCCGCCTATCCTCGCTGGGTGCTCCGGAGCTCCCCAGCGATGGCGGGTGCCCTCCAGCCCAGCCCCGGCGATGGCGGGTGCCCTCCAGCCCAGCCGTGCGCTCGCCTCCAGTCACCATCACCGCCCGCGGCTTGCCCGCGGCCGCGGCTGAAGACGCCGCCACGTGGGGAGGGAGATGGTGGATATCTCCGGGAAAAAGGTAGAGGTAGATCAGGACAACGTTCTCTCTTTTATTTCAGTCTGCCGAGAAAAATTGGGCGTCTGGTATTAAGCTTCCTGCACCATCACGTGACTGGTGATAAAAGTTAAAGTGGGTTTTTCATAGCTCATCCCCTAAATATGTGGGAGGTCAGTTCTCTTTTCTTTTGGGCTGTCTCAGTTGAAGTTAAAGCGTACTGTCCAATTTCTTACACACCTTACGAGTTTCTTCCTTTACCTGATGTTTTCCAGGTCTTCCTTCCCATGAAATTAGAGATCCAGACTGCAACTGCCAAAACCTGACAGTTTCATTTGGAATGGAGAGCATTACACAGTTGTTCGGTGACTTGTGTGAAGCACACTTGACAGGTTTGCCATGGAAGGTTCACTTAGGCAGGCAGAAGATCAGCAAGAGAAGGGCTAAGCAAAATCTGAAAAGGATTGCTTATAATGCCCTGTTCATGAACCTTTTTCAAGATGAGGCTCGTAAGCTGCAATCAAACGTTTCCAGACTCCCAGTGAAAAACAAAATTTTGATGCTGTCTTTCAATTTGAGAGTTGCTGGCCTGGGTGCTCATGCAGATAGACTGGAGAATCTTGTGGAGGAGCTGGAAACAGCTGAATGCTTACCATTTACTGAAGTTAATTCTGTATTAGATCTCTTAGTACAGCTTGCTGGAACAGGTCCTCCTCAGCTGGTACCACAAAAAAAGGACTATTTTCTGAACAACAAATACGTTGGGAGGAATGTCAAATACCAGGGTTATGATTATTATGATGTAAGTGTGTTTGAAGCTGACATACAGTCTCTGATAACAAATGAAGAATGTCAGTTCAACGACACAATTCAGCAGACACTTCAGATCATGGAGGCTGCACCTGGCACTGGACTCCCTGCCATAGGACTGTTCTCACAGAGCTGTCCTGCTGGGGACAAGTTTGAGAAAGAAACACGTGTCTCACTCTTCGGTGCTCTTGTCCACAGCCGTACGTATGATATGGATATCAGGTTGGATTTACCACCAGTGCCTGACAATGCAGATTTGTCTGGACTTGCAATTAAAGTACGGCATCATTTGTTTTGAACTAATGAGTGTGTGCATGCTTTCTTGTGTCACTTTGAAATTATACTTTAAAACGTAGGTAATAGTTTAACTGGTGATAGAGGCAAACGCCACAGGAATTCAAGTTGGAGTAGGGATCTTTTCTTTTGCAGAGAACCAGATAAGCTTTTTGGAGATGTATGATAACAAAAACCTTGGTCTTGCCCTGTAGCTGTGTCAAAACCCATCATGTGGCCATAGGCTTTATGAATTTAAGCCATGAGCTGTACCCATACCTTTCCCACCCTATCAACCTTTTTGTTTGCATTTTTGCCTGCTTTGTCTGTTGTACTCTTCTGCATTGTTGCTTACTTGTTGGTGCTCAGACTGACTGCCTCAGCATCCCTGTCTGCATGTATGTGTTTTGCAGTTCAGTTTGCATTACCTAACTTGCTGTATTGTCTTGTTTTGCTATATCTTAAAGCATTTTTACTGGGTTTTTTTCCCCGTTGAGTGGCCTAGTTCCTATTGTCCTTTTACCTTTTCAGTGTGTACAGTTTCTACTGTATCTTCTTCCCCTTTTGCTGTCCATTCTGTTTATTTTTGCTGATTTATTCTTGTAAAAGTACTGGATACACTTTTAGAGTTTTTCTTTCTTTCCATTTTTACTGTGTGTAGGTAGGCTTATTTATAGCCTACCCTTAGATCCTCATCTTGTTTAACGTATGGTTAGATTTTTAATTCCTTTAATTCAAGGTCTGAATTGAAACTTGAAGGCAAAGACATGAAATAGAAAAACCCTTTACCATTCTGTGTTCACATGTGGATGTAAATTTTAACTACGAGGAAACAGAACCTTTTTGAGTTAGTGCTGAACTCTTTCCATCAGACTGGAAAATTTGCAATTTCTTGAGGAATGTGCTGGTTTTTATGTGGGTGTGATTGTCTTTTACTAAAATTGAGGACAATTCTTCACATATGGCTCCTGTTGAGTGGGAGTTGAGGATGTGGCATATACACTGTTTGGACACTTACAGATTCTCTGCATATGAATTAGGGAACAAACTATGTTAGTCATAGTTAACAAAATGTTTACAAGTTTGAAGATTTGGGTGCTGGATCATTTGCCTGGAACAAATGGCAGAGCAGTATAATTTTATTAATACTACGTATTGTTGAATGTCCATACCTGATATTCTCAATTTGTAGAGCTATATGCTTGACAAACAAGAAAATTTCAAGTTTAATAAAAACAAGCGTAATACATTATTTTTAAGATGATTTCTTTTTTATGTGTGACATTAATATCTGTAGAGACTCATCAAATGAAAAGAGTGCCTATAATAAAAACTTCAAATTGATACAAAGGGAGGGTAGGTGAGAGAGGTTGGGTCACATAGAGTCATTTGGTCATGAATGATAGCAAAACATCTTTTTCTTCAGCAGATGTATCTTCAGTAAAATGTTTTCATGTCTGACATTTGAACTCTTTCTGACAGGTTCCCCAAAGTATAGATCAGTCAGAAGATGAGGGATTCCAGTCAGCATCCAATCTGACTCCTGATTCTCAGTCAGAGCCAAGCATCACTCCAGACATAGACTTGTGGGATGCAGTGCTTACGTATGGACCCAGCAAACGAAGATGTTGGGAAAGAATTGGGTAGTATGTGTCTGATGTTACTGGTAAACTTACTATGCACCGTATCCAAGTGTGTGAAGATGCATTGCATCTTAGTTCCACATGACCTCAGTATAAATAGTGAAATGAGCATGTTTAATTCACAGATTTCAGTACACTGCATTGATAGGGATAAAGGAATAGAGGTTGTATGGTTTCAACAAACTGGTTCTTAGAGTGCAGCAGTTTCATAGGAAGAGATAAAATCATCTTTGTCAAAAAACGAAGGGATTAGGAAAACGCTGTTTATTTGAAATGCAGCATTTTTTTAACTATTTTGACTTAGGTGCTATGTAATTTGTCTCATTCTAAAATGATTCCAAATTTTCAGTTTCAAAATAGGGAGTGGTAATTGTAGAGCAGTAGAAGAATTGAACAAATATCTCCCAGTATTGTAGAGTATTATATTCCTTTACCCATTCTGTAGACAAACCAGAAAATTATAACAGATTTCTTGCTGGCCTAGTTAGACTTTGGCTCATGAGAAGAAGATGCATCTCCTGAGAGAAAGCTCTGCAGTTCTCTTAAGGATTCCTGGCTCACCTAAAATGGAAGGTAAAAGAGAAGCCAGGTATGGCAGGTATCCTGACATTTCAGATGGACAGTGGTGTGCCTGATTGTTGAAGAAGCTTTCCTCTGTATGTCTTCTGTAATTTTGAATAATAGTCTAGTGGCGTGGTTTTGCACTGTTAAACAGTGTTCTTTCATCTCTGAGCCTTCTTTCATTTCTGAGCCTTGGAAGCTCAGAAACTCAGAACTTCCCTGTTCTGATTTCTCAAAGCCATTGTAGCCCACTTGAGCTTTTTTCCAACAAGACAGTTTTTCTTGCTACTATTTAGACTGTAAGTCTAAGAGTGATACACAGACCATATGCTTGACAGATTTTGTGTAATGCCTGCTACTAGAATTCAGAATTTTTGGGAGAATTGGAAATAGAAATTGTTTTGGAGGGCATAGTAATCTTTACTGAGAAGAGGCAAAATATGTTAATAGAAGTTCATTCTAGCACTTTGAATGTATTTCTCTTTAACTTATTTGATTA